GGGGGGGGGGGGGTACCAAATAAATATATACATGTATAGATATGTCCTTAAAAATATTGGGCCACAGGTAGGTTTTAGGGCTCAGGGCTTTCTTGCTGTTTCGGTATCTTTTGGGAGGGGATCCTCATTATTACTGCTCTCGTTATTGTTTGTATTATGATGATTATTCTGAATTTTATCATGTTTCTGTTTGTCAACATGGGTTCATTGTTATTAGTGTTATCATTCTGCTTCTGCTTCTTGTCATTACTATTCAATTTAAGGAGCTGAAGGTTCTGAGTCTATATTGGGGTCCCCTACTTTCTCAAGCTTCCCACCTCGTACTGGATGGAGGCACCACGGATCTCGGCGTCGATGGCAACGAGGCCACCGGCGTACCGGGGCCGAAGGAAGAGTTGGTGCGCCACCCATTGGAGCCCTCATATAGGGTTTAGGGTTTCTGGGAGAACAGTTCATATACTAATACTTCCTACTGTCCAATCTTAAAAGGAACTCCTCCAAACAAAAGAGGAACGCAAAGATACTATTGGTGCACTAGGGGTCTGTCTCAGGGTCCGGCTTGGGGATCTTCAGCCAGTTGCTCGGAGTTTCGTTGGGGGCGAAGGGCATGGCAGACGTCGGGCTGCTTGGGGCCATGACGAAGCTCCCACCAGAGCACTGGGTGACGGGAAGGAGCAGCGGAGCTTGATACCCCGCAAAGTCCACAAATTGTGCAGGAGCTGGGGGCGAGAAGCTCGGTAAGACTGGCGAGGCTTCTTGAGTGCGGGCCAGGCTTCCCTCGTGGCTTGGCTTCGAGACTTTGCAGAGGGCGTCTTTCTCCCTGACCTCCCTTCTCTCGGGCTTTTGGCCTTTGGATCCCTTGCTGGCTTTCGGGCTTTGGGCCCTGGTATCCTCCGACAAGTACACAGGAGGCCGTGCGAAGTTAGGCTGGAACTGAGCCAGGAGGAGCTCTGCACCCGGAATCATCCTCCACTGGTTGATCCTCCTGTGTTCCACCCGTGTTCTGGGAGCCTCTCCGTGGGTAAATGCGCAAAGCACACGCCGCCGGCAGTGCCTGTCGCTGCAGGGGTTAGCTTTGTAAAATCTTGGGTGGTAGAGTTGCTCCTTTGCACCGTGTGCCAACGGGCAGGTGAACCCAAGAGGGCATCGAGTCAGGTAGTCGGTGTCCGCAGCATTCCTAGGCAACGACGTTAAGACGCAGACGGCACAATGCATGCAGAGCGTTGTTCTTGCGAGCGGGTGTCCATGCAGCGCATGTTCATGCACATGATACCGTATACATCCGCACACATGACATAACCCAAGCGAAGCAAAGACAGTGTAGCCCTTTGGCTACAGGTGAAAAAGTCCCTAAACCCTAAACCCTGTGTGCAGCCAACATTCAGCTTCGTGCTCGCTACCCAGCGTGGACAGGGCTGCGAAGAATACCCCAGAGCCGGCACCCGCCGGAAGTCGCGGTAAGTGTGGGCATAGACACACTTCTCCCAATCGTGTGGGCCACCAATTGGGCACCACCTAAAAAAACGGCATGGATAGCAGCGTTCAGTCTGACAAACACTGCCCTGCCTCTACCCCTGATATACTCGGCTTACATGATGCAGACTGCACGTGTGAGATCACATGACTCTGAGCTCGGCGCTGCGTTTTGAAATGATGTGCCATAAACTCTTCGGTCGGATGGTTCTCTTCCTCTGGCGAAAAGTACGGTGCAAGCAGCTCCTCACGGGAGTGTGCAAAGGCACAGAACTTGCCACGTGCGCAGTTGCGCGGTTGATGGCAAAAGCGCTTCTTGTAAAGGTCAGGATGATAAAGGAGCTCTGTGTTGCTGTGACAACGGTCGCACAAGTCGCCACGGGGACAGATTCCCTGATCGTCGAAGCGAAGCTCACAAGGCACACTGCAATAGGCTGGAGAAGAGCCTTCAATCAATACCGGACGTCTCTTCTCACGCTCGCTGTGATACCAGGGGCAAGAACGGTGGTCATGCTCGCCAGCAATGTTGCAGGGCCGCGTCTTGAACATCCGGATCATCCACACTGCGCTAGGGGCATGACACGGTTCCATCACTTCTGGCATTGCTCCTGGCACCCCGGAAGAATCAAAGCCATCGAGCCAAGTCGGAACATCCACTAGTCTTTGCAGCGGGACAGGCTGGGCCCAGCGGTCCATTGCCTCTCCTCTGGTCCGTCGGGTGCCCTCCACAGGCTGCCCCTACCCGAAACCATAAGCCAAGCTGTTGCAGCAAGAAACATAAAGAGCAACGGCGAGAGACTTCGCGATGTGGGAGTGGATTTAAGATTTTTGCTCGGTGCTTCGTTATGTGGCATGCACTTGCACGCCCCATGCCTCACTTGCCATTTTGCATCGCTGGCCCCGGCTTGGAGCTCTCCGATGTAAGTCGCTGCTAGCTCCTCAGACAAGCCCATCTTGTATGCTGCACAGCAGAAGTCGGGACGTCAAAGGCCCAACCTTGTCCATCTTCGTCAAGGTCTCTGCCAGAGCGAGGGCGGCACCATTCCTTTGTCTCACGAGGTCTGTAGACTTGGGCATTTCCAACTGGCAAAATTACTGGCAAAATTTACACAGCTAGACCAGAACAGCAGTGGAGGAGCCCGTTGGATGAGGGATGCCACAAGCAGGTTAACGAGCAACAATCGTCACATCCCTTCTGCCTTTCTTTTCGTGCGCCTGTACAGGGAACAAAATGTGCATGCAACAAAGTCAGATAGATGCACGTAGACAGAAAGATGCAGATCAACGAATTCGAGAGCAGACGCGAGCCAAAGATCTCCCTGCAAAGTGGGGAATAGCGGCCAATAGCAAACACTAGCGACGACGACGACCACGATGACGAAGACCACCACCACCACCACAATAACAACAACAGCAACAAGAAACCACAAAAGCGACATCTGTAATAGAAACCCTTCGTTCCGCAGCAACCGGCTCTGTTACTTGGAAGCTAAGCTTTACTGAAAGGTGGGGAAAAGCACATCTACCCTCAATCGTAAGCCACCCCCCAACGCAAGAAGCCTCTGTTTTCCTCTTTGGAACAGCGTCTCGGTGTTCCTGGAGCTTCCGCTGTCGTGCGGCTTCTCTAAAGCTCCGGGTTAGAGTTTCGATCTACTTGGGGCCAGCACTGGCTCTGAGCCCACGAACTTCGAATCAGTGTTGGGATCTTTCCCACAGTCTACGTTCCTGCATGCATTGCGTGGCACCGGAGGCTTACTCATCTTTTTTGGCCTCAGCAGCCTTGTCCCCATCCATCTGCTGGCGGATGTACCTGGGCATAAATAGAAAAAGGTTTGGGGTATTTCATACTTTGAATCTCATCGGACCCTAAACAGGCACTTGCTCGAGGCAGATCGGGATTGAAAACATCCATGCTGAAACCGTCACGAGAAATTTTGCATGACAGCTGCGGCCACATCCGTGCCCTCAACATGCACCTGATTCATCCCCGTGTACGAATGCCGAGAGGCTGTTCTGGGGTTTGGTGCTCTGTTGCATACTTCAGGGCGATTGCACCAAGGGTCAGCTGAATGAACCTCGAAGCACAGCTGTCTTGCTGCATGCCACATGTACTTCATTGGTGCTACTTTGCTCTCTTTGCGCACGTCGCAGAACCCAGTGCCCTGAGCATCGCATGAACACTTCGACGAGGGACTTGCTGGTGAAAACGGTCACCTCAGCTTCCAAGCCCATGTTCAAACTCCTCGAGGCTCCTGATGTCAGTGGGGAGTTACAGCACTAAGGGTCTAGAAGTCTAATGCAGTAATAACAGCAAGAACGCAGACAATAACAACTAATGTTTGTCAAACATGAAAAGAGTATAAGAGTACCGTAATGAATGATAGTCGGAATAGCAAAAACTGAATAATAGTAGTAATAACAGTACGTAGTAGCAGCATTAATCGCAAAAGATCAACAGCAATCACAATCGTAACAATAGTAGCAATCATCACCAAAACAGTGATGATAATCCTAACAATAAAGTAATAGCAGTAACAGTCATCATCATGATCATAGCAATGATATAACAGCAATGATGGTCATTTGGGAGACCAGAGGCCGTCAAGCTGCAAGAATCTTGAAGCCATCCATCTCAGCGAGCACGCCGGAAATCACGATCACTGCTGTCGGAATAGGAATCGGCACTACCTGGCTGCTGACAAGATCTGGCTCTACCCGGCTCCCGCATACCGGAATCAAAGCATAGGTAAAGAAACTCCCAGAGGCCTAAGACATGTTGGGTTTGGAAGTTTGGAAGACCGAAATGTGCTCCGAATGCCTTCCAGGAATCATGAGCATGTTTGGTAGATAAGGTTTGTAGGGTTTCGGGTTTAGGGGTGTAGGGTACCTACTCATCAAGTGCTTCAGCCGCAACAGCTCCCGATACCCTCGTGACGGATCGAAGCGTGGAGGTGCCATCACAAGCTCTCAGCCCCAACAGCCCCCTGATCGACGCGTCCCACAACCCCAAATCCCCCGCAACCCATGCCTGCATTCCGACGAGGCCAAGAACTCCCCAATCTTTGGCCCACTCGCGTGCCTGCGGACCGCTGCAGCGCACATATGCTTCAGCTGGAACTCAGAGTTTGGGCCCTTTTCATGTGCAGACCTTCGAAAATAAGTAGGTCTCGGCTGCGTTATCTTATAGTATCGTGTAAGAACATGTAGCTGATAGTACTACAACATAATGTACTTTACTACAGCAAGCCTTGACTCGCCACCTTCAAACCTGGGCATCCCAAGCGAGTATACGGAAGCCCAAGCAATAAACAAGAGTCCCAAGAACCCCAAAGCCCCACCTCCCCCCGAAACCACAAAGCCATACATCTTGGAAGAAACAACCAAGCCTTCGCCAGCCATTGCGAATCCTCCACACCGGCCTTTGGAATCAAACGCTTCACTGGTTTCGCAGCTTCGGCTTAGGTGGTTTGAGCTGATTGGCGTGGCGCATAGGTGGTGCGCATTAAAATGTACTGAGATTGTTGTCGTAATAAGTCATATGATTGCGGCTGTGAGAAACGTTGTTGACAGTCCTGTGTTTAGTGATGCTAGTGCAATGATTCGTTATGTTCTTACTCGCCACAGTTCTGACTACTGGCTACTGATCTTATTGCTTCTGTAAGGTGTGTGTTTATCTCCATAAATACAGATAGATGGATGAATAGATAGATAGATAGATAGATAGATAGATAGACAGGCAGATAGGCAGATAGGCAGATAGGTAGATAGATAGAAAGATAGATAGATAGATAGACAGATAGACAGATAGATCAATAGATAGAGTGTGTGTGTGTGTGTGTATGTGTGTGTGTGTGTGTGTGTCAGTGGTCTGGTATTGCGATTACTTACTGACATGGCCGCAGTGACGACTGCCGCTTGTTAATGGCGCGCTTATTGCCAATGTTGTTTGGGTTTGGCCGTCCGGACTCCATGGTGTCTATAGGCTTCGTTCATAGGTTTGGAGCTGGATGTGTTGCTCTTTCGCGTGGCTTGTTCATGCTCCATGCCTTCTCGACAGGGCTGCGGATTCGAGGTTGGAGTGTGTGGTGCTTCCTACCTAATGGAAATTGATACAGGCTCAATGCTCCTACCTATCTCTGTCATCAACCTTCGAGCCGGAGCGTTGAAGCTTCACCATGTTGGTGTGTGAAAAACATAACGCCCTCAGGAATTATAACAAGGCTTTGGAATATACTATGGTACAGTCTTAGTATAGTTATATAGGGACTACAAGTCCACAATGTAGGCAATTATTCCGGTTCATGAGTGTCTAGAGGAAAAGTTGCGAACACCTGCCATCTGCTCGAGAATTGAAACCCCGGACCTTTGCCAGCAGTGCTCGTTGGCCCTCCGATTTCCTCGGGGATCGGACTCTCAGTTGGAACCCTCGTCTTCTAAGGCATCAAGGTTCACCAACGAAAAAGAACTGCACTCAATGAGTAGAGTGGGCCCTCCTACACTCCAACTAGACAGGGATCACAAAGAAGGCTCGCATGTCACAAGGCCGGAGCTGTAGGTCTGTAGGTTTCGGGACACTAGGCGCTCCTTGCGGAGGACTTCGGGCTGCTACTAATACCACCACCACCACCACCACCACGACCCAAACTACTGCTGCTGCTGCTGTACTACTACTACTACCACTAGTAGTGCTACTAGTGCTAGTACTGCTACCGCTACTGGCACTACCAAAACCACCACAAACAACACTTCTACCATTGCACACTGTTCAAAAGATGGTAGTACCGTAGGAGTAGCGCGAAACTGGAGAGCAAACGATCTTCACGACAGTGCACACACGTGGTTGTTGATGCTGCTTGTGGTTGTAGTTGTGGCTGTGGTTGTGGCAGTGACGGTGGCGCTGGCGATGGTGGTGCTGTTGCTGCTGCTGTCGGTTGTGTTGGTGGTGTTGTTGTCGTTGCTGCTGCTGCTGCTGCTGCTGCTGCTGCTGCTGCTGCTGCTGCTGCTGCTGCTGCTGCCGCTGCTGCTGCTGCTGCTGCTGCTGCTCTTCTTGTTCTTGTTGGGGTTATTCTTGTTGTTGCTGCTGTTGCTCTTGTGCTTATTGTTGCTATGCTTGTTGCTGTTCTTCTTGGTCTTGTCGTTATTTTCCAGTCGTTATTGTTCTTGCTAGTGGCGTTACTTTTATTGTTGTTCTTGTTGTTACTGGTAGCGTTATTGTTACTGTTGTTCGTGTGGTGTTGGTTGCTCTTGTTATCGTTATTGTCATTGTTCTTATTGTTCTTGTTGCTGCTGCTGTCTGGTTGTGATTGTGGCTGTGGCTTTGGTTGTGGTTTGCTTTGTGGTTGATGTAGTTGTCGTGGTCGCCGTGGTTGTGGCTTGTTGTTGTTGCTGCAGCTGTTGTTGTGGTGGTGCTGGTTGTGGTTGCGGCCGTGGCTGTGGCTGATGTTGTACACACAACAGCAGCCGATGACTGCACTCAACCCATTCTCCGAGGATCATTATCTCCACGTAGAAGTAGCCAGCTATCAGAGAACCAATGCTCAGCATCAGCGGTGCGATGAAGAATGTCTTTTTCCGGGACAGCACCTGGAAGTCTCGCAGCAAGCAGCCGTTCGTTCGGGACCTAAGGCCCTTGCATGCAGGGAGGGGTTGACTTTCAAGCAGCTGCCGAGCTGCGATGATGTTGAAGAGCAGCATCCTGGGTCAGCAAGGCATGGACGCCGCTTGCTAGAAGCACCTAAACGAAAACAAAACAGAAGACCATCCAACAACCGCCACTTTCTCCGGCAACCACTAATTACATCAACCCCGAATCTCGGCACCTCTCAGCACCAATCTTCTATGGCAAGACGGATGTCTATGTGTCTAAGAGTCTACGGCTTGCAGAACCACTAGGTAACATAGCTGTTTGCTGAAACATTGTGAAAGAAAGTGGCGAGATTCCCGGTGAAGCCGCTGTGGCATAAGGCAGAACAGCAAAGACTGTGGACATTCAGAGTCCAAGGCTCTGGATCATCCCGACGGACCAAGTGAGCACTCCACCAGTGATGGAATTCACGGTGCAGACCTCGGCGCTTCGTGGCGACAGGAAGTAGCAGTGGCAGTCCCGTTCCGGAAAGCAACACTGAGTTGATTGCTGCCAGCAGCACGAACGGAAGCCACCAGCTGTCTCCATGCCTGCGCGTCGTTCAGGTCAGACTCGACTTGCATGTCTACGTACGACTGCATGTCCAACCCGATACTTGATTTGTTTTCTGTGGGAACCTCGACGCTGCAAGCGCCCAGCTCAGGACCTGTTCCTTCATGGAGGCCATGGTGCTGCAGAGGCTGCAGGCCAAGCTCAATGCAAGACTACAACCAAGTCGAAGCTGTTCGGGAGGCTTCCGGAATGCATATAATACCGGGAGCTTATTTGCATACATGAGCAACCCTTCTTCGGCTGTGCCATCTTGCACATGGTCTTAGCATTAATCCGTCTTGCTCTGCCTGGGCAGCTGTGGCTGCAACACGAGCAAGTCTCCTTCGCTCGGAGAAGTGGTGAGAAACAACCCCACGGCTTCTCCGGTGAGAAACAACACCAAGCTCACCGCAGACAGCCTACAGCTTCCCCCTAAACCCTAAACCCAAAAGTCCACCAAACCCCCCAACATCAGCCTCCGAACCTCGAGTCCGAAAGGCCCAGCCGCTAGCACTATGATTGAAGATGAAAGAATAATATAGTATAGCATAGTATAGTATAGTAAAGTATGGTATAGTATAGTCTAGTCTAGTATAGTACAGCATAGTATAGTGCAGTAGTGCAGTATAGTAGTCTATTAATACCGCCAAATTCGACGCCGCTCCACGGCTGGGGTTCGCGCTGTTCCGCCTGCTCGCCTGGCAGTCGAGTAGAGGGTGCTTGAGCCACCTAGTATAGGACCCTTAATGAGGGCAGGGTTCTCGGGTATACATATACGACTATATCTCTTAATTGAGTTGTACAAGGAGCTAGTAATTGTTCAGGCTTCTAGATTACTACGCTGCTGCTGCACAAGAACAGTTATGGTGACAGAGAGTAATAATCAGCCTGCCCGGAGCTTTCCGAAGAGCCATGGCTGCAGCTTCTGCTGCGAGTACTGGGGCAACACCTTCAGAGATCAGTGAGATCCCAAACCCCAAATCCTCAACTTCGTGCACACCAGGCCAGGGAAGGGCGTAGGGAGACGGAAATTCATCGGCTGTTTATGGCGGCCCTCGAGCAGCATTAGCTCATGTTGATTTTCGGGCTTCAGGGCTTGTGGTGCGGCAAGGGCCTGGAGTCGTGGTCTTGAACTAGGCGCCCTTGGCTTCAGGCTCCATTTCTGCTGGTCTTTACACTGTTGCTTCTTTGACTGTGACTGTGACTTGTGGTGCTCACGAGTTTTGCTAAGATTACGCCAACAGCCGTGGACTACTCCGTCGCAGTTGCAGCAGAACTGTGCAATTCAAGCTTGCATATGACTTCCTGCTAGTGATGCCTGCCAAGCCTTCGTTTATGGGTTGTACTTCAGCTTTGTTAGCTAGCATTTCATTACCTGAGCAATTAAGTGGGCTTTGTGGAATGTCGAGCAATCAGGCTGTGTGCACTGAGTCCAGGCCATGCTTTCAGGAAGGTCTACTTGTGAAGGAGCCCTTGCTCCAACATACCCAAAAAGGAGGGTAGACCACTTCAAGTAAGTGTATCTCCCCACGGCAAGCGTCGGCAAGCTGGCCAGTCTTCCTTGAAATGACAGCAGCAAGCGACAGCAAAATAATTAACGCCCAGAGACAGCACAAGATCTGTACTGCTGCCACTATCGGGGGCTACCGACCGATGAAACTGCTGCGCGTAGCAGCTGCTCTGATTCCGCTTTATCAGAGTGATATCCGCTCGCAATCTTTGCGTCAAGCTCGACCTTCATGCTGTCTTTGATGTAGGTATCGGGAAGATCCACGCGCTTCACGACCCGGATGCCAGCGCCAGTGATTGCCTCATACTTCTCATTGCTCATCGAGCAGAGAAGATCGATGCGTCGGATTCCCATCCAATTCAGGGCATCTGGCATCATGGTTTGGAAGCGTGCGTCTCGGATGCCGGCAATGGCTTCGGTGTGCTGGAAGTACATCTCTGGGCGATCGCCGCCGTCTTGATTCACACGGGCATTGTACACTCTGAACTTGATCACTTCACCAAGGCTGCGACCCTCCTTCCTGAAGTAGATCACCACACCAACCCCACCCCTCTGGGCACACTCGACAGCTTCGCGCAGTGCAAAGATCAGATATGGCCGACAGCTGCAGATGTCGCTTCCGAAGACATCCGAGCCGATGCACTCATCGTGGACGCGCACGCACACTTCTGTCTTCTCATCCTTGAGCTTCCGCGCATCACCAAAGGTGTAGATTGTGAGTCCACCGACAGCTGGAAGATAGGTCTTCACCTTGGGGTCCAGCAGCCGGCTGTCATGGGAGAACTTGTGCAGTGCCTCCCGCAGCTCTTGCTCACTGAGGCCCACCCTTTCTGCCATGAGGGGAATGTTCCAGGCGTAGCTGATGGCACACTTTGATGTGACAATCTCGTTCGAGGGCAGAACGATCTTGCCGTCCATGTGCAGGTCCTTGAGTTCTGGAATATCCAGCTTGGCCTTGCATGCTGCGATGGTGGGAGGATGTGCCGTCATACCCAACGGGTCAAAGGTCGAGATGCGGTCCCAATCTCTGTGAGTTGCTGGGTCATCGATGAGCTCTTTGAACTCTGGCAGGTAGAACTCGGCCTCCGTTCGAGTCTTGTACCATTCCTTCAAGTCAACGCCCGCCTTGGCCTCAGCGATGCCCCAGTAGGCAGCATGGTCCCAACCATAGCATCCTGCATACACGCCAGCCTCAAGATCATCATGAACATCTTTCCAACTGTACCCTGTCGCTGGGTCATTGCGGCAGATCGTGGGAACTAAGCTTCCCTGATGACTCTGCCGTGGCGAGTTGCAGCCACAGGCCCCGAATCCGTCTTTGCAAAGACGAGGAACAAGATGCGCCGACAAACGGGCGGCACGACGGTTTGGCCGAGACATACCTGCCGAGGACTTGAGGTGTGAAAGAGTCCGGAAAGGCTATTGCTTCGCGGCCAGCTAATTGCCTCAACCTGAAGCCAGAATGGCTTGAGCCACCATGGCAACACACCATCTCTTCCTTCCTGATCGCGCACACACACCCTCTCTCTCTTTTTCTTTGGCCATGTATCTCTTCACACAAACACGCATCTATATATATATATATGTATACACACATGTATGCATGTATGTACGTACGTACGTTCGTACATGCGTATATGTATGCATGTATGTATGATTATGTATGCATGTATGTATGTGCATGCATGCATG